GCAAACAGCTACAATGATGTTGACAAGGCTTGTTCTCGTGGTTGTTCTTTTCACTCAAAGTGGTAAGTAACATGTAAAGTAATGAAATCACTGAACATCCTGGTCTGCCTTTAGGGTATGGATGTACATCGTCCGTTTTCTGTTCATATTTACTGGTAGTTTACAACCACTGCGTTCTTTGCAATGCACTCTCCTCCTACTAGTGATCACCTATATTTTTCATTTCATCATGCCATGAATTTCGCACAGGATGATCTGAGAGCATGAAATACCCTTGCCAAACTCCCAGTTCGCTTGTGACGATTTCACGTCATCAATTATTACTTAATCGTTAACGTGTTTTTGAGAGGCTATGAATTCGTAGTGGATGTCGTCAACATCTCTGCGTCTAGTAATACAGTAATCGATCTGTTGTCATGACAACAATGACAAGCATGAGTAATTGAACATATTCGCATCGTCACACATTACATTCTACTCACGAACTCGTATCGCATTTCGATTGTACAATATACGACCAGCTACCGCTTCTTTGTCCGCGGTGCCAGTGTGTCTTTCTAAATCCACATCAATTTGCCGATAAGATTAATGACGTCACATTTAGATCACCGATGTAATTAATCGAATCTGGCACACTTCAAAGTGCTTAAAATTTGTCGATAAAAACAATTTAAAGTGAAATGTGCAATTATGTAATGTTATTATCATAGTTAGTTTTCGAGTCTCAGTTGAAGATACAGGTATATCAGTTTGAAGACGTAAATGTTGGTAATAGGCCATGTGTGGGTATTCACTCAGATGCGCGTGCTGTTTAGTATAGTAACGTAACCGAATGTGTGAGTAATTCATATCGCAAAATTACCAGTGAGAGCTTAGAGTGAATATTGGTTTTATAGAAAATGGATTTTAGGGATAATATCAGTGATCCTTATTTTTCTTTTCTTTGTTTTATTTTTTTAACTGCACACAAAACAGATGAAAACGAATCTTATAATCCATCATACGGGTCACAT